AATACAAATTGGATTAGCAGGACAGGATTAGAGCCTGCTGGAAGGTATTATATACTTATAAACTGCTTTGTGGAAACTCCTATTGTTTTCATTATAAGCCCATACTTCACAGAGTCAATCAAATGAAATATGGAATTAGTCTATTAGTAAAAAAAAAATGAGATATAAAATGAAGTGACTACGTTTCAATAATGCCAAGAAAGCTGAATTAGGCAATAATGGTTCAGTTTAGCCAGACTCTTAACTAGATAATCTGAAATTAAGAGTTTTAATATGGATTTCTTCTTACTGAGAAATAAACTCACTAAAAATGGTCTCTATGTCCTCCATCAAGAGAATAATATTCAAATAAGAAACATGATTAAGAGGTGACTTCAAGAAAGAAAAGGGAATATGAGATATTTGAGAAGTTTCAGGCTTATCTGGACTTTCCAGTGAATTGAAGCTCCAGGTCTAAATGGATGACATTCCCAATCCCAGGACACTGAAAGAGTCTGCAGGTGGGAACACAGAGCTCCTGTCAGTTACCTTTGAGAGATCATGGAGAACAGGGAGCTGACAAAAGATAAAAAGAAGCCAAGGCACTCGCTTTCCAAGAAAGAGGAAAAAGGTGGATTAGGACATACACGAGCAGGTGAGTTGGAGGCTGATTCCTGGCAAAAATTCCAGGAGATTCAAATCTTGGTTCTGCTATTTAATGGCAATGTGACCTTGTACATATTTCAAAACATTGCTATAAGGATTGAATAAGATAACATATGTAAATGAGATAAGGTATGTAAATAACAATATATGTAATACAGCACTTGTAACATAGAAAATTCTCGGCCAGGTGCGGTGGCTCATGCCTGTAATCCCAGTACTTTGGGAGGCCGAGGTGGGCAGATCACCTGAGGTCAGGAGTTGGAGACTAGTCTGGCCAACATGGTGAAACCCCATCTTTCCTAAAAATACAAAATTAGCCAGCCATGGTGGCGCACGCCTGTAATCCCAGCTACTCGGGAGGCTGAGGTAGGAGAATCACTTGAACCCAGGAGGCGGAGATTGCAGTGAGTGAGCCAAGATCGAGCCACTGCACTCCAGCCTGGGCAACAAGAGCAAAACTCCACCTGTGAAAAAAAAAATAAATAAATTCATGAACTGGATAGTTCTGTGCCTCAGTTTCCTTACTCATAAAAGGAATGTACTCATAGCACCTCATTGGCTTGTCATGTAAATTACAGCACCCAGCATTTCGTCAGCACTATGTACATCTCTGTTCAATAAACTGGAAAAGAAGTCTTTCGTGGCATGCTTGGGCAGCACTTGGCCCCAACCTCTTCAAGATTTCCCAGAAACTTGTTAAATTTTCATATGATGCGCACGTCAAATTCTCAGATGATGTAAATGTTGGATAATGAAATCAAAATCCAAAAAGACCTTGACAGGCTAGGGCTATGATATGAAATATGTGAGATAAAATTAAGTCCTAGATAGAGATTGTAAGAAAAAAAATAACTTTTTTTTTTTTTTTTTTTTTGAGACAGAGTCCTGCTCTGTCGCCCAAGCTGGAGTGCAGTGGGGCAATCTCAGCTCACTACAACTTCCAGCTCCCAGGTTCAAGCGATTCTTATGCCTCAGCTTCCTGAGTAGCTGGGATTACAGGTGTGGGCCACCACACCCGGCTGATTTTTTGTATTTTTAGTAGAGATGAGGTTTTGCCATGTTGCCTAGGCTGGTCTTGAACTCCTGGCCTCAAGTGATCCACCTGCCTCGACCTCCCAGAGTGCTGGAATACTGATGTGAGCCACTGCACCCAGCCAAGATTATTATTATTATTATTATTATTTTGAGACAGAGTCTCACTCTGTCACCCAGGCTGGAGTGCAGTGGCGTGATCTCGGCTCACTGCAAGCTCTGCCTCCCGGGTTCCCGCCATTCTTCTGAGCCTCCTGAGTAGCTGGGACTACAGGCGCCCGCCACCATGCCCGGCTAATTTTTTGTATTTTTAATAGAGAAGGGGTCTCACCATGTTGGCCAGGATGGTCTCGATCTCCTGACCTTGTGATCCGCCTGCCTCGGCCTCCCAAAGTGCTGGGATTACAGGCGTGAGCCATTACAGGCGTGAGCCACCGCGCCCGGGATATTATTATTTTAAACAAAGACCAGCTTGGCCTTCCAGAAGTTTCTATGGATAAAAAAGAGAATTTTGGCCGGGCATCATGGCTTATGCCTGTAATCCCAGCACTTTGGGAGGCCGAGGCATGAGGATCACTTGAGTCCAGGAGTTCAAGACCAGCCTGGGCAACACAGCAAGACCCTATCTCTACAAAAATAAAACATTTAGCTGGGTATGGTGGTGGGTGCCTATAGTCCCAGCTGCTCAGGAAGCTGAAGTGGGAGGACTGCTTGTGCCTAGGAGTTGGAGGCTGCAAGAACTATGATGACACCACTGCACCCCAGCCTGGGCAACAGAACGACCAAAAAAAAATTTTTTAATGACCTTTTAGCTGCCTCTAAGCTTAGTATGCCTAAAACAGTGTGTCTAGCACATTGCAATGTCCAGCTGCATTAGAAGAATGAAAATGTCCTAATAAAGACACTATGTGGACATACGTACTTCAAGATGGCGGGCACTGCTTGCCCATCATCAACTCTTCTTTCCCTGCTCCTCCTCACGTTTCTCCTAAGTGGTAGCACAGCTGCTACTACTATGGAGATAAGGATGGCTTTGGAACCCAGATAAACAATAAGGAAATGTAAAGCAGAAACAGACTCTATTTCCAACTCATTTGAGTGGCAGAAAACATTCTCAGGTGGGTATTAGAGGACAGCCTCAAGATTTGTGAAGAACTATAATTAGAAGTTTATCAGGGCACCTAATGGCTCACTGTGCTACAATGCTAAAATAAATTCCCCTCTAATCGTGATTACTACAGGATTTATCTAATCTATTTCCTATAGGAAATCAAGCTACTCCCAGGTACTTTATCAACTTTTTTCTCATAATAAACCCTGTCCTGACAAAAGAAGATATTGTCATCCCTACAGTATAGATAAGAAATTGAGGCAAAGAAGTAAAGTGAATTGCCCTGGGTCACACAGAACTGGAATTACAATTTAGCATCTAATCTTGGAGTGCACTACATGAGGTAATAGGAAGGAGCATACTGAAATCACATTATAGCCTTCAGAAAAAGGCCTATTTACTTTAATCTCTGGGAGAAAGATTAATAGTATTTTCCTTGGCACATGCCAAAGATGTTGAGTAGACATTTTAGATTCCACAGGCTCATTCTAATCCTTTTCCAAATACTTGGAAAGCCTTAGTTTGACCATTAGGAAGATACTGGAAATTAAATTTTTTCTTTAAAATTAAGGCAAATATTTGCTGGAAACTCCAGAAAAAGCAATTAATCCAGAAAATTGTATAGTTCAGCCACGTTGTTTCAGGTCACCTGGGGCGAGAAACTTTCAAGTAGGCATAAATCCAGAGAGCCAGCTCCCTCATTCCCCCTCCCACGACCCATTCCCAGCCCAACCTCATTGTCTGGGGCCTGGATAGATAAAGGTCAAGCGAACTCATGTTTTTAACTTTAAAAGTTCCAAGCAAATGTAAGTTATTGTTATAATGATTTATATATCTCAACGAATTACTGAATGAATCCATGTTCATTAGAAAAACATAGAAAACAAAGTTGAGCAAAACAAAATAAAAAGCAACTACTATACAATCAAGCAGTAAGAGTCTTTTGTACCTATTTACAAATTGGTTATTTTGGTTTTTTAAAACTTTTTTGGAGACAGGGTCTCACTCTGTTGCCCCAGCTGGAGTGCAGTGGCATGATCATGGTTCACTGCAGCCTCAAACTCTTGGGCTGAAGTGATTCTACCACCTCAGCCTCCTGAGTAGCTGGGACTACGGGTACACGCCACCACACCTGGCTAATTTTTTTCTTTTCTTTTTGGTAGAAACGGGGTTTTGCTATGTTGCCCAGACTGGTCTCAAACTCCTGAGCTCAAGCGATGCTCCTATCTTGGCCTCCCGAAGCGCAGGGATTACAGGCATGAGCCACCTCATCTGGCCTACAAATTGGATATTTTCTAAGGCTCATCTCTTTGGTCAGGCCATAAGGAAATAAGCCAGAAGCTACAGACAACCACTAAGGTTCTAGGTGTCATTTCCCGTCAATTAAGTAGAGAAAATGGTGATTTATCCATGAAAAGCTATGTTTTATTCTCTTGATACATATCCCAGAAGAGAGAAGACCACTACTCCCTATACCTGGTGGTAAGAAGAAATAACTTCCTAGTTGCATTTTATCAGTCTGAAAATCTGACACCACAATTTTAGAATTATCTAATTCAGTGGTCCCCATCCTTTCTGGCACCAGACACCTGTTTTGTGGAAGGTAATTATTCCATGGGAGGTGGGGCGGTGCAATGGTTTCGGATGAAACTGTTCCACCTCAGATCATCAGGCATTAGTTAGATTCTTATAAGAAGCGTGCAACCTAGATCCTTCACATGCGCAGTTCACAACAGGGTCGCGCTCCTTGAGAATCTAATGCCACTGCTGATCTGACAGGAGGCAGAGCTTGGGCCATAACGCTTGTTCACCCACGGCTCATCTCCTGGGGTCTGGCCCAGTCTCTAACAGGCCTGTACTGTGGCCTGTACTGGTCCATGGCCTGGGGATTGGGGACCCCTGATGTCACTCATTTACTTAGACCAGCAAATATCATGGCCAAAATTGATTGTCTATCTTTTTATCTATACATACACACAGTCTCATATACTGAAGGTCATGATTTTAAAATACATTTTGGTGGGATTCTTCCTTTCTCTCAGAGAAAAGAGATACACATTTAGAACCTATATAAAAGTAGGCCAAAGAATTGTTAATAATCAACAAAAGATGAGTACGGTAGAATCTTTCCAAATTGTGGGCAATGTCACTATTCGGAAGAGAAGCAAATTTCAATCCCTTTCTTTTTCTCATACTAAAATCATGCCATTACCTTTTTGTTTGCAGCCACACCGTCCTCACAGTCGAGCACTGCACAATCTACATTCAGGGATGGGATCTTCTTTATTTTCTTTTCATCATTTCCAGGTACATAAAGCACTGCCCTCCGGGGGATGTACTTGGGACTGGATGAGGAACTATATCCAAGTCTGGGGACATCAGCTGCTAGAGACGCTTTCCTGCAAGACACATGATTAGGGTTAGCCCAGAATGAGATTTCTGTATTTATAAACTTGTGAAAAACTACATCTCAATGCAGAATTAAAACAGAACACATGGATAATCTTTTTTTGTTTTGAGACAGGGTCTTGCTGTGTCACCCAGTTTGAAGTGCACTGGTGTGATCTCAGCTCACTGCAACCTCCACTTCCAGGCTCAGGTGATCCTCCCACCTCAGCCTCCCCAGTAGCTGGGACTAAAGGTATGCGCCACTATGCCTGGCTAATTTTTGTATTTTTTGCAGAGACGGGATTTTGTCACATTGCCCAGGCTGATCTTGAACTCCTAGCCTCAAGAGATCCATCTGCCTTGGCCTCCCAAAGTGCTGGGATTATAGGCATGAGCCACCATGCCTGGCTGGATAATCTTTTAAAATTATGGTGGAATACAATCACACACAAAAACCAAGAAAACAATAATAGCAGAAATAATCAATGAACTAAATGTTATTTTGGCTGAGGTTTAAAAAACAGATAGGACTGTCTACTGACATCTTCTGAGAGAAAGAGGGTATACATATTTCTTCTTGGAAAACATTTCCAGTATTGTTATACTGTCCAGATAGCATCCGTGGAGAAAAAACGAAAGAAAATGTCTCCAAAAGGTACTGTACGAAACGATACTATCTACAATTATACACAAAAGTAAAAAAGGAGAAAAAAAAAACTAAAGAAGCATTAGTCTATGGCCCTTGCCCTGCCAATACATCTTTTAAAGGAGGTATATCAGTGATTCACATCCAATTTTAACAAGACAAGATAGACTGATTCTTTTTAAGTGAGTAGGACAGTGAATGTCGCTGTAATTGTAGGCAACTTAATTACCGGTAACTTCGGATTCTTCATCTATAAAAATAATACTCATTTTGTAGGTTGTTGAGAAGATTAAGTTAAAGGAAATAATGAACATGAAGCACTAAGCCAAAGCCTGGCAGATATTTTAGCTACTTGAAATGGTGGTGGGCGTAGCAGGAGTACCAGCAGCTGCTGTTGTTATTAATGGAGAATCTCTAGCTGTCAGTAGCCCTGGCCTGCTTCTAAACTATGCCCTTGCTTTCCCTTGCCTACCATACCAAGTTCAGTCTCTGTTAGAAATAAAAGGTGTTGGCCAGAAGCTCCTTTGACTTACTACCGCCCTTGCCTGGTCCATAGTTTATCCTGTGAAAACCATGCTTTAGCTCATACGCTATGGTCAAGGAAGATGAAATCAGCTCCCGTAATCAGGACCAGTGACACAATTTGCGGGGTCCAGTGAAAAGGAAAATGCAGAGGCCTTTGTTTATAATTTATTAAGAATTTCACAAAGGTAACAGAAGAATACTACATCAAGCACTAGGTGTTTCTAAGAGCACAAATTACATGTCAATGAAGCCAGCCCTGCCCATAAGAGATGAAGTTCTATGATATGAAGACTGCCAATTAGGCCTTAGGCCACGTGTGGTGGCCCACACCTGTAATTCCAATACTTTGGGGAGCCAAGGTAGGCAGATCACTTCAGCCCAGAGTTTGAGACCAGCCTGGGCAACATAGCAAAATATCATCTCTATCAGGAAAAAAAACTCAAAAGGCAAAAATTAGCCGAGTGTAGTGTATATGCCTGTAGGCCCAGCTACTCAGGAGGCTGAGGTGGGAGGATCAATTGAGCCCAGGAGGTCAATGAGGCTGCAATGAGCTGTGATCACACAGCTGCACTCCAGCCTGGGCAACAGAGCAATACTTTGTCTCAAAAAAAAAAAAAAGGGCCGGGTACGGTGACTCACGCCTGTAATCCCAGCACTTTGGGAGGCCAAGGTGGGTGGATCACAAGGTCAGGAGATGGAGACCATCCTGGCCAACATGGTGAAACTCCATCTCTACTAAAAATATAAAAACTAGCTGGGTGTGGTGGTGCACACCTGTAATCTCAGCTACTCGGGAAGCTGAGGCAGGAGAATCGCTTGAACCCAGGAGGCGGAGATTGCAGTGAGCCAAGATCGCACCATTGTACTCCAGCCTGGCAACAGAGAGATACTCCGTCTCAAAAAAAATACATTGCCAGTTAAGAAAAGTTAAAACCCAGCCGGGCACAGTAGCTCACACCTGTAATCCCAGCACTTTGGGAGGCCGAGGTAGGTGGATCACCTGAGGTAAAGAGTTTGAGACCAGCCTGGCCAACATGATGAAACCCTGTCTCTACTAAAAATACAAATATCAGCCGGGCATGGTCGCGGGCACCTGTAATTCCAGCTACTTGGGTGACTGAGTAGCGAGAATCGCTTGAACCCAGGAGGCGGAGGTTGCAGTGAGCCAACATTGCGCCACTGCACTCCTGCCTGGGCGATAA